TGATCTTTGAAAATTAAGAGAATGTAAAGAATCAATGCATCTGAATTACCACTACTGCAATAAAAAAAAAGAATATTTCATCAAGCTACTTTTGTTGCATCATCGAAATTTGCGAAGATAATTTTACTTTTTCGAATAGAAAATGATTCACTGTATTGGAGCATGAATAAGTTTTTTTTTATTGATTTAGTGTCAAATAAACTCAGACGAGAAAAAATTCAGAGTTATGTAATTCTTTTGTTCTATCCTAGGATATATTTTTTTCTCAGCATCAGGAATCTCCTAAAAATTGCAAAAATCTATCTGACAATTTACAACCAACACTGTTCATCATGTTGGCAACAGTCAGTATTAACTAAACAACATTTTCTCTGTAACAAAATGATATAATGTCATACCGTCAATTGTAGGTAGAGTAAAATGTGTTAGTTAAGAGATTGTTTATACGTTTCGGTAACTTTTCAGCTAATGACAATGGAATTTGTAAAGTTAGTTGATTATTCATGAGTTCAACCAATAATCCATGTAGAATGTAAACAGACAGGTTGAGACCACTAAGCATCAGACGTCACGAATACCAGTTTAATCCATATACATTATGCTTATTATAGATATATTGAAGAATAATCAACGTGCTAAATGACTGTAAAGAAGAACTCCGTACGCTAATAATGACACTTAGTCAGCAGTTCACTGTATTCTTATTCATCAAAACACACTCAATAACTGAACTTCAATACACAATTGAAGATAGAATAAAAATAATCTTTAAGAAATTGGAATATTCAAATATTCAAGGCAAACAAATCAATCCCACTGATAACTTGACAGAATTGCCCAAAAGAAATAAGTTCAGCCTAAGACGTATCTCATGCGAATTAAAAGTGAAACCAATTTACAACAACAAACACTACAATTGCTTGTCATTCTTTTGGAGAGTGAATGATATCGGAATATCGAAAATTTCGAAAAGAATTATTAGTCAAACCAATTCAAATTTGTCGCATTTTCATGAAACCCAAGAGCATCAAAAATGTGAAGCGAATTGATGACGATGATGATGATGCAAGGGATACCTTGATCGACCTTTCACTGACCTGAAGATCTCAGTTTTCAATAATTATATGTAAAATATCTTATGTAGCACATTCAGTTATAAGTTTCCTCATACTATTGATCAAGTTTGACTTATTTTTACACTATGAATCAAATAATTTTGTAGTTGCTGTCGCGTAACCTATGACATTAATTCTCTATCGGTTGGAGCTTAATTCCATGATGTTCTTCATTTGCCATTGTAAAATATTTATTCACTTGTCAATAGTCAACCTGATGAAAGATTTTCAGAATTATTCCTAAATTCATGGCCTCTGATTGTTGATCCTTGATATTCACTGAATTAGTTTTATCATACTGAGATTGTCGATAGTGGAAGAATTTCATCTGACTAGATTAGTTCATATTATCTCACTATGATTGTTATACTTGCCTCAATCAAATAGGGAAAATAAAGACACTAGATAAGAAATGAGAATTAATGTCTCCTCGATTAAACAATCGGTTTTTGTTGTTTTACACATAGAATTAAAAAGTTTATTTCATAATTTCAACACCATCTTTCATACATACATAGTATATTTGAGTGGTAAAAAAAAATTCTAAACAGTCCGTATTTCTGATTTTTTTTTTCTTAATTCTGTTCTCATTTATTTGTATGTAAGAAATCATGATGTTGAGAATCGGTCAAAGTCATTTAACCCATAAACTTCACGGTTGATGCTATAATCCAATGAATATATTGAAATATAAGCAAGTCGCTTGTTCAAGATTAGTCACTTTGAAAAACAAACGGAAGCACAGTTTAATCAAGAAGGAGGACAAGGAATTTTTCGTGTTTTTTTTATCGTTGTTGAACAGACTGTTTAACATCCAGAAACTAATCATAGCTCATTCCTCATAGTCTATTCGAAGTGTAGAGTATGTTGAAAGGTTGATCAAGGTATCACTTGTAAATTCATCAATTCTCTTCACATTTTTGATGCTCTTGGGTTTCATGAAAATGCGACAAATTTGAATTGGTTTGACTAATAATTCTTTTCGAAATTTTCGATATTCCGATATCATTCACTCTCCAAAAGAATGACAAGCAATTGTAGTGTTTGTTGTTGTAAATTGGTTTCACTTTTAATTCGCATGAGATACGTCTTAGGCTGAACTTATTTCTTTTGGGCAATTCTGTCAAGTTATCAGTGGGATTGATTTGTTTGCCTTGAATATTTGAATATTCCAATTTCTTAAAGATTATTTTTATTCTATCTTCAATTGTGTATTGAAGTTCAGTTATTGAGTGTGTTTTGATGAATAAGAATACAGTGAACTGCTGACTAAGTGTCATTATTAGCGTACGGAGTTCTTCTTTACAGTCATATAGCACATCAAATACCTGTCATTAATTTACTTAAGTATGGAATAAAGAATAACATTTAGGAAACAAGTGAGTTTTTGTAAACCATTAATTAACTTATAAGTATTTTTGTTTTTTTTTCTGTACTACATCATTCACTAACAATACCATAAACATTTGGTTATAAAGACAAAGTAGCTGGTTATTATTTTTGAGCAGTCATATCATTAAGTTCATTTAAATATCATATAACTTATCTGCTTGCTTAGAGTCAATTTTGGCAAGCTTTACATGTGGATACATTCAGATTTAGCAAGTTTGTAAATATACGAAGGATGTAAGGAACATAAACGAACATACTGTGAAGGTGATAGTCAGTTGTTCTAACAACTTGAAACTGCACAACAGACCGAAGTTATTTCGGAAACAAGCAGTTAGTTGTTGTTGTTGTCATGTTTAAGAATAACTTAATCTATTAGTCTTAAAAAAAACTAAGTTTTCTCAGCGGTAGTTAACACTGTAATAAATTAAATTCCATCAGCGACTCAATAATTTCTATTATTTACGTTTACTACTTTCAGATTATTAATCAAAATGGGACAATCATTCTTGCAAAGTTTGTCTTTTAAAGAAATGATTTAATTTTCGTGAATATAACTTGTTTTGCTTAAGATAACCAATACCTTGATTGTTTTCTGTTCTCAAATGAACAGATGGACAAGGTACAAAAAATTTTCATGTCATCATAAACTATCGTCTTCAGATTCCTTCCACTGGTTATCATCACCGTAACAATGAACGAACATAATATTCGCATATTCAACTAACATTCTAACTGTTCATAACTTCTACAGAATTAAGATTTTTCCTGACTTCTTTGATTTTGAGAGAGTCTAGTTTTCCAAAGTATAGAAAACAGTTTTCATTTAAGAACCGTGCTCCAAGGAATTGTAATTCAAACATCTTCAACTCTGTAAAATTTAGCTATTAAAATTTGTTACAATTAACTTGATTTATTTAAGCGGAGATTTTATTAATAGGATTTGCTGACTCACTTTCGTACTCTACAGTTTTATCGGTACTTATTAGAAAGTATCCTATTTTCTTTTATGTCTAGATACTTACGAAAGAAGCCAGTAAAAATGTACATACAATAATTCACTTAATTCTTCTTCAAACTCTGAATAATCGGTCTGATACGAACTGCTGACTAGTTCTTAACAAAAGCGATTACGCTTGCAAGTTGGAAAAGTTTTACACATTTCTATGTTTTTCACTGCATGTTGCTGAGATTAACAAATATGATTCATTTCATACTGAGCGTCGAGTAATTCTCATCTAAAGTAGAATGTCAAGGCTTACTCCGTTTCAGGGACATTTTTAGTTATTGAATCGATCGCTTTTTACCGAAATTTGACTTGTTTATTGATTTTTTCTTTAAAAAAAAAACTAAACTGGAGCATTAATGCTGTGACACCAACCAATTTAGATCAATAATGTAATTCTTAGCAAAATTAGAAGTGAAACTCTTATCAGTCTGTAAACAAAGAAGAGATTCGGTTTCTTATTGATTAAGTGTTCAAATAACTATTGAACATTGAAATTAGAATTTTGTACTATTGAAGGTATGAAGACGGTATTACAAAATTCATACTTTGTTTATTAAACTTTCATTTAAGTAGTCTATTTTAGTTTTTTTTTCGTATTTATCTTTTTATAATCTAGGCTAATGAAACTATTTCAAAATCGTTGGCTCATGAATTGTAATTTTGTTTTACCGGAATCGATTTTAGTGAATATCATTTTCGCCTCATGGGTGTGGCAGAAATCTCTTTGATACATACAGGACAGTATCTGCGTACGTAAAACTTGATATATGTTAACAATAGAAGGAATAAAAAAAGTCCTGTGTAAACTCACTTTCAAATAAATTGAAGCGAAACAATTGTGCAATTATTATTACTATTACTATCATTATCCTATTGTCAGATTCGTGCATACATGTCTGTGTATAAATTTAAGTTAAAACAATAATCAGATAGGGGAACACAATTGCTTTGTGTCAGTCGAGAAGTGCTCATCGATTATTATCGGGGGAGAAATTCTGCATAATCCTATCTCTTTAATATACAAAATGTCTATCTATTTTGTGATTTCACCGGAAACTTGAAACATTTTCGACAATTAAACTATTTGAACTAAACCTTGTTAAATATTCTAAAGATGCTCGAATGTGTCAAAGCTGAATTTCGACTACTTAAACATCTCTGTAACGATCAAAATAATAATAATAACAATAATAATAAAAATTTGGATACATACAGGAAAAAACATATGGATATCATGAATGCATAACTATTTCTTTCATCTAATGCATAGGATATTAGTTTATCAGAATCAAAATAGTACTGAAGTATTACATTCGTTCTTAGTGTTTACATTCTCCAGCCGTTGATAATAAACTAAATGAGTAGTATAATTATCATTTAGCTCAACAACAGTAGTCATAATAATAATAATAATGAACAAATTTGTTTGATTTATAAATAATCTTTTGTATATATAATACAACGATACAATTGACCAACTCACTCACCAATAAATGAACGCAGATATTCATTGTAATAACTGGAATAAGTGTTTTGCATTATTTCACAAGTAAACAGCAATTACACTAATGACAATAGGATGAAATCAAATGGGAATTTGTTGTTTCTTCAGTAGAAAGAAACGTAAATCAGATGTGAGTAATGCAACTTCACGTTAAAGTGACAATGGTTGATTATGAGCACTGGGAAATGTTACTACTTCGTTTGATAATGTAAATAGTGTTGGCTCGAATATATATATATATATATATATATATATATATATATATATATATATATATATATATATATAAGGAATTTTTCGCTATGGGCAAATCAGTCACGTTTTATTATCCCTCTGTTGATCAGTGACTTTTTGTACACTACATTAACTATTCTTCTGTCCTATTAATATTCCTGCTTTCAGTTTATTGGTGATAATGTTCATGGTGTATATTTTATAGGCAAAAAGGGGAGAAAATTTTGTTCATAGACTTGGTGCAGTTGAATATAATTACAAATATGTGTGTAGTGTATACATGTGCACATATGATATTGTCTGGATAGCATGTGCACATATTTTCAAGCACTATTTTCTTATAGATAAGGCTTTACCGATAAAGCACACAAATAATGTAGTGCAACTGAATTATTGTGCCCTATCCTAAGTCAATTTGATAATTACTGAAAACACCTATAATAGCATTAGTGATTATGGTGATCATATTTAAAATTCAAGATTTCCTAATCCTTTTCACCTATTACAATTATTTCAAATGGTCAGCCAGTAGTAAACAGGAAAAGATATGCAAAATGCAAACAACCTGACCATTCGTAAATTTGAAAAATTCTTTGCCAACATTTCACAAATGATGCTATTTCATTATTACTCTGTCAACTAATGATTATTAAAACATGATACTAATTTTATGAGCTTTTATTTGCATTTTTTTATTTAAATACAAAAGTGCATAAATTCATATGTTGAACTGTTAAGCTCTGCTTAATATGTCTCCAATGGCATACCATCGATCGCAAAGCCTTCAAAGATAAAATACACTATCATCACCAACTACATCATAAGTGATAACACTGATTTCACTCGATTCCAATAGTGGTGTATTTCAAATTAAATGAAATGAGAAATGTGAACCAGTGGATTTCAATTCAGTGATCTAAAAGTAATGTACTTGTTCCAAAATCTAAATGTCTCCTGAGGCAGGATACAAGTGCATTCTGTTGAAGAGTTCTACACTAAGACGAAGTAACTATTATGTGGCTCTTGTTTGTTCAATCGTTCAACAATTCATATCATTCTATTATAACTATTGTCGCCAAATCGATCAATTTCCGTGTATCTCTTATCTCATAGAGGTATACTATATCATATAGATCCTTGTTGACTGACTTAATCAATGAGTTTTGGAAACTTTGTCTTTCAAACAAATTGTTTCAAGTTTGCAATAAATTAACAGCTACCGAATTTTTTTTTACTATCTGATTTCTAATTTCGTTGAGTGTATGACAAGATTTTCCATCTACTACAGATGACAGTGAATGAACTATATTCATGGTTTAGTGTACACTGTGTCGTTTTTTATTCGGCAAAACGAACATGGAACTGCTCTTTTATTTATGTAGCCATACTTTATTAAAACGGAAAACGAAATATATTGCTTGGTCAGTGAGTTCTGTTCTTCTTGACTTCGAATTAACACTTTCCTGAACACGTTCAAATAAAAATGAATTTCCTGGCGTCAGTGTTTTGTTTCAGTCATAAATATCCATAGATAAACGTGCTGTGTATAAGCATGAAACTGAACTTGAAATTTCTAGATTCTCTGGAATCTTCAGCCGTAAAATGCAATTGAAACTTATTCTCTGAAATTCGAAAATGCTACTGAAATAGTATTTTAAAAATAAGTTAATACTTTTATCAATCCCTAAGGTATTAAAGACAGCATAACAATAAATTGTTTCCATGTGAAATTTCAAAGTTAGTATTTTAAATAAAGTGAAGTGGAAAATGTTCACTTCGGCTCAGAATCTCTTAAGATCAGGTATTTTGAACAATTACACTATAAAGTATAATTACTCATTACTGTCTCAATCATTCAATTATACTCTAAGCTACGAAATGATTGAGAGATAAGTGTTCATCTGAATTTATTTATTTTTGAGAGCCTATTTAAGATCGTTATATTCAAGTATTAGATTTACAACTTGGTTAAAAACCGAATTATATGATTCAGTGTTTAGTGTCAATCTCATAACCACCCCTACTGGTTCATCAAATCCTATTCAGTTCCTTGAATATTTAAAGTTGTTACAGTGTAATTTTATAAGTGTGGTTAAGCATCCTAGAAATCTGATCGCTTAGCTTTCTCATAGAATTTAAAGCATTTTTTGAAATGTGATTTTCAACCACGACCTTACAGGTAGTTCATGATTCTAGTCTCTGCTATGATAACAAAAGGAAATCAATGAGATTTTTAGTTGGCGAATTAACAAACATACTTAAATATAGTGTCAAGTTAAAAGATCGAAATATTAGGCGAAGAGATTGAATGAATAATATGTCAAAATAACTTCCACTGAAAAAAAAATTTTCGATTAGATCGTCATCAGGCTTTACTCTAATATACATGAATATTTATATGAAAATATATTGTTCGCTTATATGTGTTGTTCTAATTTTCACAATGGGAATCTTTAGAAAAAAAATTAACAAGAAGTAAAGCATCAGAATGGTTCACTACCTCTTTACTAAGCAATCCATGGTATATAAACCAAAAACCTTACTCTAGATAATACTGAGTTAACTGTCGTCGTTCCAAAGTCAAGTCAGCTCAATGCAGAAAACTGTTCAAACTAAACATCCATCGGTTATAAACCTTTTTTTGATTGCTTGCACGTGAACTTATTATTCCACCCAATATGCACGCATGTAACAAGTTAAACAGAATTGTTTGTATCATTCAGCCTAGTGAAACTTCTCCGTTCTTATTTCAACGAATTTATATGATGTTAGGGGGTTCGAAGCAATTGGCATAAATCTGGAAACTGTTGTTCACAACGGTATGCCTGTTTAAATTATACAGAATGCATCAGTTTCTTCAATGTTTCCAGTACAAGTAGGGAGTAATCTAGTTCCAAGGGTTCGTGCTGACCGCCTTCAACTATTTCATATTAAAAGATAGTATATGTGAGATCAAATTACTTGAACGAATTACCAAAAAAGAAAATTTGATTGATGCAGTTGAATCAGCATTAAAAACTCAAACAAAATGTAAGCTTCCTAATTACTCACTAAACGATTAGAGACATTTCTTTTTGAAAAGCTTTTTATGAATTAACAGATGTCAAATTCTTCAATGTTAAACATCTGAAACAGAACTATTGGCTAACATATTACAAAACGAGAGTGTGGTAATATACTGTTCACTTCCATGAATGCTGGTTTCCGAGTATCTGGAGTTTTTTTTAATTCAGAGATTTTGCAAAAATTGTGTTGTATCATTAGCGATCTTATTATGTAGCTTGAGTCAAATGAGAAATCGGGTAATCGTTATCAAAAGATAGTTGCAAGACGAGATTTTTGATTCCTTTTCGCTTACGATTTAAGGATTTTTACAACATGTTAGAGATTTGTTTAAATACTTAAATGTTAGTGTCTAGAATTGCATAACTGTTAGTTAACAATCAGTTTTAAGCAAATTTCTCAATATAAATCTTAATTACATTTCATAGATGTACTTTTTGACTGATAGTTAATTGGATTGACAAATGAAATAAATCTCACTTTTCATTCAGTCAAAATTTCTTCTTTTCCTGTTATACCTGTGGTTTATTATTAATTACTTTACTTGTCAGGTACAACGATTTTTCTGGTTAGCGTTTGTTAGCAACTTTGTTTTCTAAGGGATGAGGTTGCTAACCGCATGTCCAACTCTCTTCCTTTATCCGGACCTGGGACTAGCAGTAATACTAGAAAGACTCCAGGTGGAGACAGGCAGCACTTGGAAAGGAAAGCCCAGGACAAAGTTAGCTGGGGCTTACTGGTTGGCGACCCCATACTCCTCGACGGCTAACAGGCATGGTTCCAAATGGTTCCAAATACTCTGTCCATCTGTTGAATTAATAATTTTCAACTGGAAACATTTTATTATCATCATCATCATCAAATATTATATTATCTGAATACTGGCCAACCTGTAATGTTGTAGAGCTATGTGGTATTGTGTGCTTATTCATTTTGGTAATTAACAAATTAGTCAGAATTAGTTATAATGGGAGAGAAAGAAATTATCTTTGTGAACTATAATAATATTAAGTGCAATAATAATAATAATAATAATAGTGCTAGTAACAACATCAACAACTGTTCAAAATAACAGTAAACTAATTCTCATCGAGTCACATTCATTACTTGTACAAAAAAAGATGCAAGCGCGTGTGTGCACACACACGCTTCTTATTTTTTTTTCTTCAGGTTCATCCATTTGCCATCATATAATTCCACTTAATACATATAAATAAGATGAAAAAACGCAGAAAAAAATAAAGCAAAACAATTTTTTTTCGTTCACTTTGTATACCCTATTTAAAATAGTATCTCAACTACACCTGATCCATACATACATACATAGCATGTGTGTGTTTGTGTGTGCTAGTCAATGGAGTGTACATCAACTAGTTTGTACATTATATTTGGTTACAACCTAGATTACAATTCGTCAGCTGTTTTTTTTTTATTCTTCGAAATGTGTATTTTAAAAAAAAACTTAGGAAGTAGTGGTTAAAGAAACCGCTAGTCTAAACTATGCCTTTTTAAATGATAATGTATAAAATATATTATGCATCTCTATGGGGTTATAAATTGACAGACTAGTTCATTAGACTTTAGAGACCAAAAATTTGTTGCATTCAGATCACTAAACGTGACAAACAACACCACCTGTTATCTTTTTATTTTGGGTTTCTATCCTACATTTATACGTATATATATATATACATGCGTACAAGTTGCTCCATTCACCTCACTGTAGCTTTGTGGTATGAAAAAAAGTGTGAGTGTATGTGTGTATATATGATAGAGATAAGAAAATTTTAAGCTTCTGCAC